AACCCTTCCACGTCAGGACACACCAGCCCAGTTTGCACCTGCCAACACTGGCATCTCCTTGCTCAGGGCAAGCCAGTGGAGCCAGGAATTAACACCCTCCAACTGTTCTCTGCCAATGACCAGCAGGAGCTGGGGGATAAATAAATACCTCAGTGCAGTAAGCCTGCAAGGCATCTTCACCCCTGGCTCTGGAATGCGCTAGCAGGATCCAATTCCACTTGCCCACAGTGGAGCTGGTTTGGTAACATACCCACTGCAGGACCCGTCCCTTCTCTGTCTCACCTCCCTCTCTCCCTGACCAGCAGTAACTGGATTATTCCCGGTTAAATCTACCTGCTTTCGAATCTTGTCTTAGAGACTGATTCTCAGGAACCCTAAACTAAAACAACCCCTTCATGTAGCCTATTCTATGGATGAAGGAACTCAGACCCAGAGAAATGGAGTAACTTGCCCAGGCCAACGCCTGCAGGGCCGTCATGGGAACTCTTCTCTGGCCTAGGGTTCGGCTCTCCCCACACTACGTGCTGCCTCCCAAGCCTGCCCCCCATCTGCACCTTCTACCCCCGCCCCACATGGATTCAACATGTTATTTCCCAGCGCAAAAGAAAAGGCTGATAACACGTTAGCAAATCTGTGGCTCCCTCCCTGGAGCCTCAGAACTTGTTTCTGGACATGGACATCTCTCCTCCACCCTGGGTGTAGGTCCTTGGACTCTCCCCTCTAGCCTCCAAGGCCTTGGCCCTTCAGCAGTGGGACAGGCTGCTGGGGAAATGCAGCCTGCTGGCTGGGGGGTAGGGGTTGCTCAGGAAGCAACTGGCTCCCTCCTCCTCCCCCACCTCAGGCACCATCTTGGGGGAAATCAATATGCACATTGCCAGTTATTTATTTTTATGTTTAATGTTGCCTGCGATACAGTGCCATGGCCTCATAGCTCACAGCAACCTCAAAATCTTAGGCTCAAGTGTTTCTCTTACCTTAGTTTTTAATTTTTAGTAGAGACAGGGTCTTACTCTTGCTCAAGCTGGCCTTGAATTCATGAGT